TTTGCTTAGTCAGGTTTAAGTGTAACCTGCTTTGCTTATTCATTCATGCTGTTTGTTCTAAGTCATGGTTTTGCTTAGGACAAAGGTGTGAGGTTAGTAGAAAGGGAACTGCCATTTAGGAAGGCCTGTAATATGTCAGACACTCTTCTTACATTTCTTGTCAAATGCTCACAGTATCCCTAGGAAGGAGTATTACAGCTCCTCTTCGACGATGAAAAGGCAGGCTGATAGGTGTGAGTGAGTAGCCCAAAGCCACATAGCGATATGTGACAGAGCCCAAGAGAGCCTGTGCACTCTGCTCCACGCCAGGCTGCCTTCCGAGGTCTCATTTCTCTGCAGTTCTTTATGGTCCTTTACGCCTTTGATAAGTGCGAAAACTTTAGCTACTTGGAGAGTTCAAGGTTGAGGATGATTTTCAAAGGACAAAGTGTGACACCACACATTTTCCAAACTCGTTTTCCATTACTCCTAATTGTTCAGTGTTTATTCATCAACAGTTTGTTAAGCATCCATCATGTGCCTAGCCTTGTGCAAGCATTCGTTATCTCAAATCATTATATGAATAGGTTCAGGTTTTAGAACTCTGTCCATCTGGAGGAGATAGAGGAAAGGCGGTGGGGGGGGAGGGGGGGCTCTTTTCTGCTCTAGCCAGAGAGCAAGGGCACAGTGGCCCAGGACAGCTGGGCTAATGCACGCACATGATCTGTCCTATAAAGTATGCTTGACCTTGAGCTTTGTGGAGGCAGAAACCATGTCTGTTTTGTACCCCACGCAGAGTCTGGCCAAGAGCAGGTGTTCAATGACGGTTGGATAAATGATTAAGCAATTTCCTTTACCAATCCACTAGAACGTGGGCTGGTCACTTCAGTGCTCTGTGCCTTCATTTCCTCATTTGTAAATGGGGATAAAGAGAGTACCTATTTCACACGGCAGCTTTGAGATCCATGAGACAATACAATGCACACAGTTAGCACTCAATACACTGTAGTGGTCATTCCCGTTATTACTGCTGGGAGGGATGAGAGGCACATTCTTCTATGGCAAGAGAGACCTGTCCCCTTTTACCTGGTGACCTGGGTTTTTATTTCTTAAAGCAGAACCAAGGGCTAGCTGGTCCAGCTACATGGAACTCACTCTGGTTTGTTGGGGAAACCTTGGTCTGAGCCCCTGAGGATGAGACGGACATAGTAACACTAGGAGGACACATCCAGTGCCCCTTCTCTTCACATCTTGGGCCAGTTGGTTCCCGCATTCCACTCTCCCTCTCTCCAGGGGATGTGTGTGCGGGTGTGGGGGTTATGTTTCAGAAATGTTAGTGTTTGACCTCAAAGCACAAGTCCAGAGGATTGCCAGCTAGCTACTCACCAGGCCATCCACCTCTGAGCATGTTGTATAGATCTGTGAGAGACCAAGGCACAGGTCTGTCCCATCAAGGAAAAGACTGTCTCCCACTGAGCCTGTCATGTCACTGTGAAGCACAGAGAGTTCCTTGGGGCCCTGGCTAGTGAGGCCCCAAGACACACCCCTCAAGCCCCCAGGGTCTGGGACGGACATGACCTTAACTCCCCAGGACTAGCCCCATGGAGAAAAGGGCTCCTCTCCAGACTGACAGCTGATTTACTAGACTGCAGCCCCGTGAGCCCCAGCTGCAACTTTGTCTGCCGATCCTGTGTCCTATTACGAGGCCCTTTGCAGCTTTTCTAAAAGACTCCTTGGATACAACAACTCCCCTCACCCCCTGGGCAGCACTGAGGTCCAGCTGCCTTTCTCTGCTGGGTATGAGAGGCTCTCTAAAGGTAGATGGCATGCCCTACCTGGTTTGGCTCAATGGATAGAGCATCAGCCTGTGGACTGAAGGGTCTCAGGTTCGATTCCAGCCAGTCACGTGCCTGGGTTGCGGGTTCGATCCCCAGTAGGGGGCATGCAGGAGGCAGCCAATCAATGATTCTCATCATTGACATTTCTATCTCTCCCTCTTCCTTCCTCTCTAAAATCAATAAAATATATTTTAAAAATAAAAAAATAAAGGTAGATAGCAGCCTGCATGGGCCTGGAGCAAGTGGCTGCTGTGCACACACGGCCACCTCCTGTGTAGCATGATATTGACGGGGCTTCTTGAGCCCTTCTTCAAGGAGGGAAGGGGGACCTAGAGCCATGGCTGCATGGCCTCCAATAGGAGAATGATGGAGAGCTGGTCATTGCTCACCCTTCCCAGCACTCCAATTCAGAACCCCTTCCCCTGCTCCATTCCCCAAAGAGACCAAATGGACCCACTCCTAAGCCAACTTCCTGGGCATGCAACCTGTTCAGTCACAAAGGGCCCGTGCTTGGTTTTAATGTTCTGATATTGACGTCTTAAAATTCTTAATCATTTTTTAACAAGGGGGTTCCTGCATTTGCAGTTTGTGTGGGGCCTGCAAATTAGGTAGCCAGTCCTTCCCACAACCTTTGCTCAGGCGATGCCTAGCTCCACACCTGACAGCCTTCTTTCTTTGATGTCTCTAAATCTTATCTCCCCTCATCTAAGGCAAAGTCCTGACAGAAAAAGTTCAAAAAAATCACGAAGGAGAGAGACCACAGTATCTTCAGAAGAGCTTTTCTGCTCCACTGCAGATGGACTGGTGATGATCATGGACACATTAATACTCCTACCAAGCTGGAGATCTTGGCTCAGTCCAAGGCTGAAGGCTGTGGTGGAGGCCTCCTGCCCCTAGTCCTGCTGTCACAGTCCTTGCCGAAGTGTATGGGATGGAAGTTCATTTTATCCAGCCTTCGGAATTCATGTTCAAAGCAGGAGATGCAAACAAGGTTGTAGAGACCTGAGTTGGCCACTCACATGCCCTTTTACTTGCTATGACTTCAGACAAAACCCAGTCTCAGCGCCTCAGTTTACTCTTCTGCAAAATGGGTCACACTCCACATCATAAGGCTTTGAAATCTCAATTGCTCATCTTGCTGTGTGTTGGAACAGATCCAAGCTCTTTTTTTTGACACTTTGGCCAGTGAGTTTTGGAAGTGGGTGGCCATTAATTCAGGTGCATATCCTGTCTACCTTTTCCCATCCTTTGCCCAGGCCCATGAACCTGGCCATGTAACTTTGGAGGGTTTGTGACCTTTCCCATGAAGCCCATTCAGGGACCCGAGGTGAAGCAACCCTACTGTGGGTGTGGCCTCAGGACTTCTCCTGGGATTGTGACTGAGGGTAGAGAGCTGAGTTCCTGGGCCACATTGTGTTTCTTCTGCAGAGCTGTGCTTGGATGTCCCTCCCGTGGCCAGCATCATGGACACAGGAAAGGCAGCCTCGTGAATCTTGCTGTTGTCTTTAGGACAAGGGTTTTCTCAAGGACGTTACCCTCACCATCACAGAGTGACGCCTTTGTGGAAGAAAGTGTCTAGGAGAGACTTCTCTCAGGTCTCGGTACTCAGCAGCTTCTGCAGAACGAGTTTATCACCGTGTGCACTGCGATCCTGAGCGCTGAGCGGCTGGGATGCTCAGAGCCCGATTTCAGGGCCTCCCTAGCAAGTAGGCAGGACCCTGGGCAGGGCAGCAGGTGGTCAGGCTCCCCTCAGCTTGGGGTATTTTGCAGCCCTTCCTCCCCTGTGCTTTCTCTTTGCCCCAATTCCCTTGGCTTTTTGTGTAACACTTTTTTTGGGGGAATTGTTCTTACACACACCTCTCTCTGCTGCAGAATGAGGTGGGACAGAAATATGTGAATTCATTTTTAAATCTATTTTAGGGAAGTTGTGAGCATTAAGAACTGAATTGCTTTGAGACTGTCATGAAGCATCACCACCAGCAAGTGGAGCTGGGGTGGTGGTGGGACGGGAAGCAGGGGCTCTGCTCTGGACCAGCAATTTTCAACCTTTTCTATCTTGCAGCGCACACACACACTGGTTACTAAAAGTCTGCAGCACACCCAAAAATATATATTTTGTGCCAATCTGACAAAAAAAATCGGTGTAATTTTGATTCATAGATGGCTGGTGTTATGTTGGCTATTGCTATTTTTTCACTCGACAATCTGCAGGAAAAGAGGTCCGTGCCCCTGACTAAATAGTCAGGTATTGCATGTTTTAAAGATTCTTGTGGCACTCTGGTGTGCTGTGGCACACTCCTTGAAAATCACTGCTCTAGACCCATCATCCAGCCACACACAACAACCTCCTGACCCACAGCCCCCAAATACTCATTGGCACCTGCTTATTTTTTAAATAAATGAAAGTTCATTGAACACATGTTGAAATTTGTGCAACCTCCCTTGAGATGTTGCTGGCTTGACTTAAGTCAAGAGCTGGGAGGAACTGGAACGCTGGCTGAAACCCTCATGTTATCGATCAACCAGCAGAGACTTGTTAAGGCTGCAGCAGCCCCGGGGACCTGGGGAATGGGAGGGCCCCACTTCTGGGAAGGCTGGGTGGGAAGGAGGGTGGAGGACTGTAGATGGGAGATAGGCTACATCCCCTCTGGCTCAGTGGGGCCCGATCCAGGCTTCTGGTGTGAATGGACCGGGGAGCACAGTGATCTCCGGAGGAGTCTCCTCAGCGCATGTAATCACAGACCGCCTGGGACCACTTGCACTTTCAACAAGGCAGAGGAAACTTTATACCTGGACCAAGTGACCATGCCCCCTGCCCCGCCCCTCAGGAGTTTCTAACACCTTCGCTGCGTGCTCTGACACCTTCCCTCCGTGGTGTAGACATGCCTCCTGAAGTAGACATGCCACCTCCGCTTCATGCCACTGCGCAGCTGAGGGTCGCCAGTCACAGCCGTGGCCTCAGCTCACTCTCACTGTGTGATGCCAGCAGAGCCAGGGCATCGCACTCCCTTTCAGAAGGGAAGGGGCTCTCAGGGAGGACAGTAAAAGGTAGTCCGGAGCCCACCCCCAGGGCCCTCTGCACAATGGCCAGCCCGCCCTCGGCTGCTGTGCTGCTGTCCCCGGAGCTGGGCTGGGCTGGGCCGCTGGGAAGCGGGCTCACACCTCGCGCTGTCTCCCTGGCAGTGGAACCTGGTGTGTAAGGAAGACTGGAAGACGCCGCTCACCACCTCCCTGTTCTTCGTGGGCGTGCTCCTTGGCTCCTTCTTTTCCGGACAGCTGTCAGACAGGTAAGGAGGCTAGGAGGAAAGGGGGATAGGGCCCCTTGTCAGTCCCTGTTTGTCTTGGGATTGAACTGAATGCAGGGTGTTTCCACCCAGAGAAAGGAGGCCCCTTAGGCCAACAAGTCTGTGACAGGAGCAGCCATGATGCCTCCTAGTCTTCCCACACCCAGCCCCTTTCCGGGACCCACTGGGAAGTGGATCCTCATATTACCAAACTCTTCAAAAAAGGTGCGCTGCTGCCCGGCTGGTGCGGCTCAGTGGTTGAGCGTCAACCTATGAATCAGGAGGCCATGGTTCCATTCCCAGTCAGGGCACATGCCTGGGTTGTGGGTTCACTCCTCAGTGGAGGACATCCAGGAGGCAGCTAATCAATGATTCTCTCTCATCATTGATGTTGCTATCTCCCTCTCCCTCTCCCTTCCTCTCAGAAATCAATAAAAAATTATATTATTTTTAAAAAGGTACACTGCCATCACCACTCCTCCCACCCCGTCCCTAACTCTTGGATGACATGATCTATCCACAAACAGCTGTCAGCCAGAGTCAGGGCCAGACAGTGAGCAACTGCTTGCTAATGTGCACCCCCTCTGCTGTGGACCGGGCCCTGACCAGGCACGGGGGCCACAGAGCTGATCTCCAGCTCACAGTCTTGAGGAGAAGGCATCACAGCTCCAGGGGAAATGCCCACTGACCCCCGAATGTTCTGTGGGGATAGAGCAGGAAGGCGGGAATGCTAAATGGCAGTGTTGGGAAGACTCCCAGAGAGGGGGCTGTGCCTCCCCTGCAAAGCCGAAGGGGACCCCAAGCTCAACAGCCTGAGACCTGAGTTTGGAAAACGGGGTGGGAGACTGTTCTGCTAACATCTGTGATCCGTTTCTCCCATCGGTCACTATCAAAATGTGAAATTAAGATTTAAGCCAACTACAGGGTCGCTAATGAACGTTCCTGGAAGCTACACTTCCCACAGAGCAGTGGTTCACAGTTTTGGTTGCACATTATACTCACTCGGAAAAATTGTTTAAATCCCAATGTCCAAACTGCATCCCAGACATAAGAATCTTGGGAGGCGGGTACAGGCTCCAGCATTTTCTGAAGGCGATTCCAAGTGCAGCCAAGGTTGAAGACCGCTGCCATAGAGGGAGTCTTGGTTCTGGACACATAGAGGTCCCATGTTGCTGATAGGAGAGGTGCCTGCTGTCTGTGCTGTACCTACCTTCTAGAAATGTGGTGGCAGCTTCTACCTGTGGCTCATTCTCAAGTGATTTCCACGTGGTCCTTGCATAAGTTGCTTTGTGCTTTTGAAATGTGGTGGTTCCACAGGAGGCCTAGACTCCCACAAGGTAACTCCTGGGCAGGTGGATGCCTGAGACCTCACCACGGAGGCACCTGAGAGGAGGTGGATGACAGAGAGAAAACCCTGTCCTAACCCCCTCCCCCCAGAATGAAGTCTACAGCAGGGCCTGACTCGGTGCTCCCCACATGCCCGAGCTGCAGTGCCTCCGTGACCTGCCCGGGCCATGTTTTGTGCTGTGCTATCCTCTACAGGTTTGGCAGGAAGAGCATCCTCTTTGCAACCATGGCTGTGCAGACTGCCTTCAGCTTCCTGCAGATTTTCTCCATCAACTGGGAGATGTTCACCGTGTTATTTGTCATTGTCGGCATGGGCCAGATCTCCAACTATGTGGTCGCCTTCATTCTAGGTAGGAATGGCTTCTTACCCTTGGGGCTTCTCCTGCCAGCCCTCTGAGAGGCCCGGGAAGAGGGGGGCATGGAAAAGGGCGCCGGGAGTGCTCTTACCCAGCACAGAAGGAAGCACCTCAACCTATGAGCTGTGCTTCCAAAATGGGATCAGCTTGGGATGTGGGGGTGGGGGGCCTGTAGCCACAGGCTCTTTGGTCAGACATGGACAAGGCAGGCACTCACAGGGAGCCAGCTCTGTGCCGGGTCCTGAAATGTGGTGGCGACTAAGAGTTCAGGCTGGTGGGAACCAGCTACATAATAACTGAGACACATTTCAGGAGCACAGGGCTTGAGAGAGGCATAAAGTGGAGGGCATTGGGGGAGGGATTTCTGTGATCTGAGCTGTGAAAGCTTGAGACTTCTGTCTGGGACAGGGCAAAAGAGTGTTCCTGGTAGCTGTGCGTAGCCCATGGAGGGACTTAGGAGAGTTGGTGTGGCCAGTACACAGGTGGGAGAGGCACATATCAGACCGGAGTTCAGTGCCAGCCCGCCACCATTGAGCAGATTGGCTCTCGCCCTAGAGCATACTGGTATCAGCTGTGCGCAGGACCAGCCTGCTTGCTGATAGTAGTCCTGTCTCCGAGCAGCTGCCTTGCTTTTGGAATATGAGGCTGCAAGCTGAAGGCCATGAGAAGGTCCCCAGGGCCCTCACCAGCTTTTCCTGGGAGGAAGTGAGGTGAGCTCCACGCAGGTTGATCAGGGACTCCACAGGCGTGAGGGTCCCTAACATGCTCTCTGAGCCCACCTGCTCTCTGAACAGGTGAGAGGAGGGGACACCTCTGGGACAATAGACACCAAATGCCACGTCTAGTGTGATAATATATCACTGTGGGCTCGCTGCTATCCCAGTTTATCCCAGTTGTCACAGTGTCATTATTAGCAATACACCTTTAATGAAAGGTGCACGATGCTTCTTATCTCAAAAGTCGATCTGCTAAGATGATTCTAATCCCTTTTGAGTGTGGATGACTCATTGGATTTGGAGGTGCTGTGTTTTCTTAGTTGAGGATGTGTACACCCTTTGTCGGGTTGCCAAGATGGAATCATTCAAATTCCACTCCTTTAATCATTTGTGAAGAGCCCTTGCCATGGGCCCAGCCTCGGTGTCTAAAGAGGGGAGGAGGGGAGGGCATCTTGAAGCCACATGGACCTGGTAGATAGCACCCTCTTCACCGGCTCCAGCAGGAAGGGGCCTCTCTCTTCCCTGTAGGGGGAAAGAGAGGAGCAAGTGTTTTTTTTGTTGTTGTTTGTTTTTTAAGAAAGGCATTTGCATAAGGGATACAGACCTTCAGGATAATGATGCTGGGAACCAGAGATTGGAGGAATTTGGGGCCGAAATTGTCTGATGGGCTCCAAGGACACAGGGTTTTGGGGCACAGCAAAGTCTATCCTTCTCATTGTTGAAATTCCCCAGAATCTGTCTTCCTTGTGGTGACCTTCCCAGTATCTGAGAAGCCCAATGTATGGCTCTGCTTGGGCCAGAGACTAAACAGGCTTCCTCAAAACAGAGAGCTCTGCCAGAGGCCAGCACACCCTGGCAGGAGGACACAAAGGACCATCGGAAGTAGAAGGCAGAGAACTGTGGTGCAGCCAGGGAGGCCTTGTTATTGGGATTGGGAGCCAGGTGGGGTTTGTGCCAGGCACGGCCTCCCTCACGTTCTGCTGAGTGGCCAGCAGTGAGATCCGCCTTTCCAGTGGCACCGGGTGCTTCCGGGGGCCACGGAGCCTTCCCTGTATGACCGGATGAGGCCAGGGCAGCCCACACTACGTGTCCTGCAAGGAAGCCCTCCCATCTGGCCCTGACACTACAACCTACTCCCCTCCCTGCTGCCCATGCTGAGAAGTGGGAGAGGGCCAGGGGGAAGGAAGATCAGTCAGAGCCTAGATGTCCCAGCCAGGATCAGCAGGCAGGACGCTGGGTGCAGCATCGGCCTGGGCCTGGGGCTGTGGTAGGGGGCTCGTGAGCCTCCCTGGCTGTCATTTTACTCAGCTGTGCTCTGTGGGAAGCGGCTGACTTTGTGTCCTTGTACGAGACGCTTTGTGTTGGGTTCTCAGATCTGAACCTTCTTAAGAGAGTCACTGAAAACCAACCTGACTCTGGAACCTGCGGGCTCCCTCATCAGCGCCTGGGGTGTGGTGAGGTGACAGGACCAGTCAGTACAGGGCACCACGTGGCTGGCTTACCCACAGCACAGCAGCTCCCCCTGGTGTTTCAGGGCTAACATGGTGAGTTTCTGGTTTTGACTAAAATAAAGCAAAGCTTGGAGTCTGGGCTCACCAGTTCTGTCTAGGCCTTCACTTTGCCCTCTGGCTCTAGAGAAGAGTTGGCAAGACTCTCGATGATGATCTCCAGTTTTAAGAGTCTTCACAGTAACATTAATTCAAGGAGCGGAATTACTCCCATTCTCTAAGTGGCGCAAAAATGGATCTCCTTGCTCTGCTTTTTAAGAAGCCTGCCAGAGTCATTGCGAGAAGAGCAGTGCTACCCAAGGGAACATAAAGGGGCTACCCCTGGAGAGGAGGAATGGGGCTGGTTTAGGAGGAAATGACCACTCAGGACAAAGGACACTGACCCTCCCCACACTCCAGCTGCTATTACAACCTACTACTGTTTCCCAGAAATAACGCCTTCAACCAGTCCACAGCCTTGTGGGTAAAATGCCAGCGGCATCCCTCATAACTAGCTGCTTAAATTTATTTCACACACTTAACTGCCTCCTGTCTGGAATGATCCATTAATTTTAATATTTTCCCAGTACTCCTAACATCAACCTCCTAGTCAGTACTTGTTCCAATATGTTGAACTATTTAAAGCTCTGATAGTTCTTTTGATAAGTATGCAACTGATTGCATCTTCCTTTATTATTTTGGCTACCAGAAAGCTCAGGAAAAAGTGAAATTTAACTATACCAATTATGCAGCCTTTATCAGTCACATATTTTTAAATGTTTTTAAATTGAGATATAATTTGTATACCATAATACTCTTTTACAGTTTATCACTCAGTGGTTATTGGTATACTTACAATGTTGTACAACTATCAACTCTACTTAACTCCAGAATGCTTCATCAACCCCGAAACACACCCTGTACCCATTAGCAGCCACTCCCCACTTCCCTCTTTCCCCAGCACCTACAACCACTAATGTACTTTCTGTCTATATAGATTTGTCTATTCTGGACATTTCTGAGAAATGGATTCATATCATATGTGGCCTTTGTGATGAAGTCCTTCACTTAACATTTTCAGGGTTGGTCCATGTTGTAGCATGAATCAATATTCCATTGTAAGAACATGCCACATATTGTTCATCCATTCATGAGTGGATGGACATCTGGGTTGTTTCCACTTTTGGGCTGTTATGAATAACTATAGGCCCAGTGCACAAAATTCGTGTCAGCTGGGGCCTCCCTCCCCATGGTTGGCTGGCTGGCCCCCACCCCCTTGTCGAACTCCCAGTCAAACTCCCGGTTGAACTCCCGGTAGAGGGGACAATTTGCATATTAGGTTTTTATTATATAGGATGTGCTATGAACATTCAAGTACAATATTTTTGTGGATATGTTTTCAATACTCTAGAGTATGTACCTAGGAGTGGAATTGCTGGGTCTTATGGTAATGTATGTTTAACCATTTAAGGAACTGACAGACTGTTTTTCCAAAGTGATCAATTGCAAATTTTTATACTTTACTCTAGGACATAACTTTTAACCTTTATTTATATTTTATTTTAATGCTATCATCATTTTATTACATTGAAAATCTTCAAGGGATGAAATGGGGTAGAAATACATTTAAAAAGATGCAGAAATTTGCTGACACCACTTGTTTGCACTGCACTATGTGAGGGAAGAAGCAAGGACTCACTCCTGTTTGCAAAGAGTTCACATCTGGTTGGCAGAGGGTGAGAATACAGTTATCACTAAGGACATGGGTCATCATGGGTGAGGCAGGGTGCAGGTAACTTTTATGGGTATACGCAGAAACAGGAAAGGTTACTTGTAACTAGAATGACCTGTGAAGGTTCATTGAGGGCAGATAGGAGGCCCTGAGCAGGAGAATATTTGTTAATTTGAAGAGACTTCTGAGTATTTTCTGGGGAGCAAAGAGGTTTTGCTGCCTTCCATTGGGTCTCTTGGTCAGAGGCACTGTACTTCCCATCATTCCCCTAACACCTAGCATATTTCAACTGTTTGACCAGAATAAAGGAATTATGTTCTTGAGCACCTACTATATGCCAGGCACTCTACAAGTCACTTTACATACGTTATATCAGTTCCCATAGTAATTAACTTCATAAAGTAGGACTGTGAGTCACTTGAATAACAAATGAGCATCAAGGAGCCCAGGAACTCCTGGGTCCTACCTCATATCCTGGCGACTGCACCATGGTGTTTCTTGGCCTGGGGTCAGCGGCAGGCCTCTGTTGGTCATTCATGGAGGGGCAGGTCTTGCCTGCACAGGGAATGGATTCAGTAGTGCCTGACTGGATCCGTGATTGACTACTACAGAAAGGCCCGATCAGTGTGGAAGTGAGGCTGGCCCTCTCTGAGTCCCTTCTTCTTGGAGAGAGTGCTCAGATAGTTGGTGGTGGCAATCAGTGGGCAAACATGCTGGCCGAAATGCCCCGTTAGCTTAGATGTCAAAGTTTTACTCCTGAGAGGCACTCAGAGGCCCTACCAGACCAAGACCAACTGGTCTCCAGCTGGTTCAAAGACCAGCCCAGGCAAATAAAATGCAAATCCTCCCTTCTGAAAGGAGATACGGCCTCACCCACGTGTGTCTCCTCCGGAATCTCAGTTGAAGGTCTGCTCGATAGGGCCTAGGCTCTGTCCCCGATTATTTTTTTCTAGACGTTACCCATAGGTCAAACAGACCAGACTTGCCCGGTCAGTGTTGCTCAGTGGTTGAGTGTTGACCTATGAGCCAGGAGGTCACGGTTCAATTCCTGGTCAGGGCACATGCCCAAGTTGTGGGCTTGATCCCCAGCAGGGGGCATGCAGGAGGCAGCCAATCAGTGATTCTGTCTCTTGATTGATGTTTCTATCCCTCTCTCCCTCTCACTTCCTCTCTCTGAAATCAATAAAAATATATATTTGAAAAAAAAACAGACCAGACTTAAATCCTGGCTGCCCCATTTATTACATATGTGTGAAGTTGGGCGATGTATTCCAACTCTTTAAGTCTCAGCAGATTACATTATAAGATAGAATATCCTTCTATAATAATTATGAAGACTCAAAAAGATAATACAGGTTAACACGTAATCTGGAACCTGACACAAAGTGCCTACTCAAAAAAAAAATGCTAGCTATGAAGATGATGATGATGGTGATGATGGTGATGGTTTAGGAAGGTGATTATCTAAAAGTCAGAGAGCAGAAAGTCGTGCTAACAAGCAACTATTCAGGTTCATGCCATCCACATTGCTACATGCACAGAAAGGCAAAGAGGTAGATTTACGAAGCATCTGTCCCCCATGGTTACTCAGCAAGGTCAGAACAACTTTGTTCTGGCCTGGGACCCAAACTTCGAGAGGGAGATGATCCAGGAATCTAGTGGTATAACTTCTCTCTCTGATCAGGGGCATGGAACTAGGAGGGAGCTCCCTTGGCCTCATGAGTCTACAAGATTTCTCACATGGTCCTGTGCACTTTCTGTTCTCCGCAATCAAATCCTCTGCCACTTCACTTCTGAATCTCTGCTCAGGAATAAAACACCCCCCCCCATTCATTTCTATGTCATGATAATCACAGGCAAAGTGTTTAGAAACCATGGCATGGGCAGTCTTCCTATGGAGTGGTAGGAAGGTCATTATCTGGAAATAGCATCCATGATCCTCAAAATGGTCAGGCCCGATCCTTGGAAATGAATTTAGAGGCTGAGAAATGCCTGGGTGGTTGGGTCTCTTGTCCACGGTCTCTAGGATGAGAGAGGCACGCAGTACTGGCCATGTCTATCAGTCTGGTTTTAGAAATGGCTGTTTCAGAGGCAGCCTCAGAGGCGTATGGCTCAGTCAGGCTGAGTAAGGAAGAAGTGGGGCAGGGGCTGGGACAGGAAGGCATGGGAAATCAGTAATTTTACTACTTCTCTGTAATTAGCCCCTTATTCCTTAGTCTGTGCTTAGGGCATTTAAACATGGTTGAGAAAACCTGTCTTGAACGCTAAACCTGAATGATGTTTGAATGGTCTATTTTGTATTTTCCGGGCTACTTCTGTGTAGTGGTGGAAAGACCTCAAACAAAAGGCGGGGCGCTTGCCATTGGCCAGATCTCCTCCCCTGGGGACCACGAGTGGACTCTGTGGAGAGGGCCTGGAGCTTTAGGACAACAGAGGGAGCTTGTTCTTGGATTCTGAAGGGTGGGCGGCGTCTCTGGGAGAACTGGTGCCAAGCCAGCCATTGTGGCTCTGAGCAGAGCAGGACCCAGCAGCCACCTGCATGTCCTTTCCCAAAACAGGGCCCAGCACCAAGCAGTCTTGGGCCTTTGTGCTGTTCTGGGAAAGCTCAGTGTTGTTTCCTGCATGTGTGGCCAGCTCCAGGGCCACTGTCTGCCAGGCCAGCAGAACTGCGCCTTCTTTCTTTCCTGGTCTAAATGGCCTGTGTCTACCTGGGGCCGATCCCTGGGCACAATGTGGCTGCAGGGGAACTAGCCCCTGACTCTGGGGCCTGTTCTGTGCACATTCCAGAGCCAGCTGGATCCCATGTATCACTTCTCAGGGCTCACGGGAGGCTAAGAGTGTCTGAGCACCACTCAGTGACAGAGCTCTCCAGTGCCTGTGCCTGTGCGGTGGAGAACAGTAGGAAAGGCTCAAGGCACGGTGCCCCCTCAAAGCACCTCAAAAGAGCCCCCACTGTCTCCTGCACCACCTCTTGCTCCTCCTCCTGGGGCTCTGGTTTTGGAAATGTGGCATTCCCAGAAGAGGTTATCTCTTGGGGCTAGGCTTGCTATTTCTAAGACATGAAATGGTCTTTAAAAAAAAAAAAATCTATGGCTTTTTTAAAATGAAAACTTAGCTTTCCATAAGGTGGTAAGTCTTGAGTCACTTCCCACCTTCCTCCACCCTGACCACTCCTGCCCTGGGCTATGAAACAAACGCCTTTTCCCTTCTGTAAGTGACTACAGATTGAACTCTAACTGCCAGGTAATGATGTATAAAGCAACTATTAAAGTGAGTTAAAATGCTAATACTCCTCCCTTGTTTTGAACAGGAACAGAAATTCTTGGCAAGTCAGTTCGTATTATATTCTCTACGTTAGGAGTGTGCACATTTTATGCAATTGGCTACATGCTGCTGCCACTGTTTGCTTACTTCATCAGAGACTGGCGGATGCTGCTGCTGGCGCTGACGCTGCCGGGGCTGCTGTGCGTCCCGCTATGGTGGTGAGTGTGGCTCAGCCCCGGGCAGCCCCCTGCTGCTGGCCAGCACAGCCTGGAGCCGAGAGCCGGGTGCTGCCCCTGCCGTGATCTCACTGGAGCTGGCTGCGGCTGGGCCTCAGAGCCCAGAGGCTGGCTGGGTGGGTCTGTGTGCCGGGGTTTAATGCTCCTCTGTCCCACGAGGCACCTTCTCAGGAAATCCAGCCTTTGCCCCTCCCCAGTCTTGTCTGCTGTTGGTGGTGGTTTTATTTGTGGAGATGGTCCTGTTGGGTTTTGTTGTTTAGAACTCCACCGCCCCTCCCACCCCAGGTGTTTTGACACTTTTCTCTAGGAACTCTCTTGCTCCCTATGGACTCGACTAATGTCGTTTCTGTCCTCCAGCCTCTAAGGAGTGCCCGTTTATCTGCTTTATCTAGAAAGGCGAGAGAATTACTTCCCTTTAGTGCAGTGGTTCCCAAACTTATTCGAACTACCGCTCCCTTTCCAGAAAAAATATTACTCAGCGCCCCCTGGAAATTAATTTTTTTAAAGTTTTAATAGCAATTAAACAGAAAGATATATGTATTAGTGTTTCTACCTTTTTCATAAAATATAGTAAAGAAAGGTGTAAATTAGAAACATTGAAGTTTGAAATTATGAAACTATTTATTGAACTCAGAATAGAAAGGTAATACAAAAAAAGTTAAAACAAATGCACCTGTGGCCATCACCGCCCCCCTGGATCGCTGCAGCGCCCACCAGGGGGGCAGTAGCGCCCACTTTGGGAATCACTGCTTTAGTGAATTGTCAGAGAAATGACCTCTTCTCTCCTCCCTCAACCGGCCAACCTCATTTTGACACATGAGTATGGGAATCACACAATCACAAAATCACTAGCCCTAGGTTTTCCCTCTATGGTTCCGTGGGAGATTTCAGATGAGAGAGCAGATTAAGAAAAAGGGAATCTGGTTCCAGCCACACCCTCTTTTGGGGGATTCCCCATTTCTTTGGTTTTTCACATTTAAGCAAGAGGAAAAGGGATTTCTTCCATCACTGGGTCTGGCTCTCTCTCTCTCTCTCTCTCACACACACACACACACACACACACACACACACTCTCTCTCTCTCTCTCTCTCTCTCTCTCTCTCTCTCTCTCTCTCTCTCTTTCTCTCAATTGTTTTTTGTTTGGTTTCACGACATCGAAATCAAATCTCCCAGCAGTGCCCTGGTCAGTGTAGTTCAGTGGTTAGAGCGTTGGCCCCAAAGGGTTTAAGGTTTGGTTCCCAGCCAAGGGCAGGTACCTAGGTTGCAGGTTCGATCCCCGGGTTCAGTTGAGGAGTGTGCAGGAGGCAACTGATGTGTGTCTCTCACATCAGTGTCTCCCCCTCTCCCTTCCACTCTCTCTAAAAATCAATGGGAAAATATCCTCAGATGAAGATTAACAACAGCAACAGCAAGTATCCCAGCAGTGACTGTTTTTATCGAACTGTTTGAGTCCTACCTACTTGCCCAGTGAATGCTCCTTTGATCACTTTTTGGAACTCACAATTTAGACTAGCCCTCCTGGTTGCCCTGTCCTGTGGACACGCTGCCTGGAGAGGTGCCTGTAAGTCCGTTATCTTGCTGCAAGTGTTGTGCAGCCATAGAGGCTGATAGGTAGCACATACTGGCCTTGTTGAACCAGATGGCTCAGGTTGGACCCACTCCAAGCTACTATCTCATGACATCTAAAACTCTATGGTTTACCAGTGTAAATTTTTGGCATGGATGTGCATGGAGGGAGAGAGCACCTTTTTCCCCTATTTCCCTGGAATGTGAGAGACAGTGTGTGAAAGGTTAGCTACTATTCTGATTTGGAGGTTTCTTCTGGAACCCAGTCTGATGATTAGGAAAGCTTATGGTGAATAAGGGCATGCCATCATCTGCACAGCTCTGCCTCCGAGGAAAGCAAGGGCCATTTTCTGGAAGAGGAGTCACCATCATCATCATCATCATCACACCCTCTACCCACAACTCCTTGCTAACTGAATCTAGTGTAAATGCTTTTGGTGACCCAGTGCTCTCTGAAGACACAAGACAAGATTATTCATAGGTTATTTTCTGCCTCTTCAGATGAATGATTTTAATAATTTATGTTCCCTGGCTCTCATCCTTTTGGCATAAGAGACCAATACTTTTAAAATATGTTATAATCAAACTTATAACTATATACTTCTCTCAGGGGGGTGGGGGGGGGGAAGAGAGAGAGAGAGAGCGAGAGAGCGGAGAGAGAGAGAGAGAGAGAGAGAGAGAGAATAAAAATAGAAGGGTTCTGATTAAGAGATTAGTAGGGATTTTAATTTGTGGGACTTGGATCTTTCCCTCAGAACCAAATAGCACAGCAAGGAATAACTCTGCTAGGTCAGCCCCTTAAATTTCCAGCTGAGAAGGCCCATCCCATGAGGAGCGGCCTCACTCTGGCCCTAAGGAGAGTCCTATCTTCTGCTGCCCACTGGCTGGTCCAGGAGTGCTCCTGGCTATGGGCACACTGATCAGGGCCAGCACTGCCCCACACAGACGCCGCCAGGGCCAGCACTAACAAGCTGCCTGCTGGTCCTGCAAGGTTAAAACAATAGTCTTACCATTTTCCTACAAAAACAAAATCACTTTGTTCTGAACATCTTGTCCTTATGATGCTGGAACGATGGACTGGGATGGTGTGGGGATGCTTCGGGCTGCCGGGCTCTCTGCCACCCGTCAGTGAGCGACACAGACTCTCCAGCAACCCCCTCCCCTGTTCATTGTGAATTAAAACTACAGAGAGACTATCGTGTACAACCTCGTGTGGTGCTCCACTGACGTTATAAGTGATCAGCTAGACTTGATTCTTCGTACACCAAAACCCATGGCAGCTCAGTAGTAGGGATTGCAGTCATCCTGAGTACGTGGCTGGAAGTGGGAGGGGAACAGAATCATTGCAGGTGGTTTGGGGATTTTTTACACCCCACGTTCCTTTTAAAAGGCTTGCCCACAAGTTTAAATGAAGTACGTGATAGAGGGTGGGGAGGGAGCCCGTAGATGCAACGTGGGGAAAGCTTTGCAATATCCAGCTGCCGACACATTAGGAACCTGAGGCCAGTGATGGCCCTCAGGGCCTGTAGTAAGGAAGATGGGATATTTTTAGAACAACCTGGTTGGAGAAAGATACTGCTCAGAAGCCAAAGTGCCCTGATGCACACTGTGGCTGTGCAGTAAGACCCCTCATTCTGCACTAAGACAGTAGTCACTCGCCACATGCTGCTTTTTAAATTAAAATTGATTAAAAGTAAATGAAATTAAAATTCATTTCCTCAGTCACACTAGCTCAAGAGCTGCATGTGGTTAGTGGCTACTGTACTGGACAGCCCAGCTCTAATCACTGAAGGTCAGTGACCTGACATCATCATGGTTGCAACCGGGACCACGTAAGGGCATCTTCTGAAAAATGCAAACTGGGTTCAGTTTCAGCCATTGTGCTGGGAGGCTGGGACAGGGAGCTGGGGTTGGCTATTTGATCAGTTGTCTTTTGCTCTGAGGTCATTCCTCTTGAGGCTTTGGAGGGGCCCATTTAAGTATAGGAGGCCTCTGTATCTGCTACACGTAATTTACTTTCTGGTATAACTGAGTACTGATGAATAGGTAAGGAAAACAAGAGCCGGCAGAAGAATGGCTAAGAGATCCTAAGAAATAAAAACTGGGAAGGAATGTTAAAATATAAATAAATATGTGCATGATAAAAATAAATAGAAAAAAAATAGAAAAATTAGGAAAGAAGTCAACTGTGTTTGACCATCAATTAAAATGTAGGAAGATTGTATAATTTTTAAAATTAACTTTCTAGACATTAAAAAAAAAGACAACATTGGCTGTCTCCCCAGATCTGGTTTGGGAGCTCACTGACCCGGGGCTCTGTTGAAGGTGAGGAGGACAGACAGCCCACAGGAGTCAGGGCACCCACCTTCTCCGCTGAGGACAGGTCGTGCCCGAGGGGCACAGGTGGCCATCTTAACACATAGACTTGAGCGCAGCACCAGCTGGGCTCAGGAAGTCTCCTAGGCACAGACACACTGAGCGACACTGGGCTGTGTTTCCCTTTAAGAGCCACACTTGGCTTTTAAGTTTTTGATGGCCGTCTCCAGCTACCCTGGCTTAAACCCCTGCACAGTTAACGTTATACCTTGCACTGCTCCTGGCTTCAAATACAACTGATGATCAGTCTTGTGATTTGCTCAGAACTTTGAAATGTGAAAGCGCTTTTATTTATTCCTATAACCAATGGAAATATTATGACGCCTCAGCTTTAAAAAAAAAAAACCAACAACTAGAATTTTACAAAATAAAAATTATTTGGGGAACAACTTATGGTTAATAGTGTCAAACCCTGCCTTTGTGAAAAAGTGTAAACCATTAAAAATGAATTCTAGGTTTATTCCTGAATCTCCGCGGTGGCTGATATCCCAGAGAAGATTTAGAGAGGCTGAAGAGATCATCCAAAAAGCTGCAAAAATGAACAATGTAGCGGTCCCGGCGGTGATTTTTGATCCTGTGGAGGTAAGCATTTGCAGATGTTTTTTCTTGAGGTCAGTCACACATTCTTGATCTTAATGGAATTTAATTTAATTCAATGTATTTTGAGTGCCCACCAGGTACCAGGCTCTGTCCAAGGCCTTAGAGACACAACGATGATTAAATTCTGAGATAAAACCCACTATAAGGAGCTGTGTGTGAATTAAATGCAATAATATATGTAAACTGCTTAGCATAAACAAGTGTTAACTAAACATCAGTTCCCTTCCTTTTTGCAAGTTCATCTCCAACTTTTTATTGGTATTGCTCCATACCATTGATGCAGCTACATACTGGTGAATATATATTATATATATACTAGAGGCCCGGTGCACAAAATTCATGCATTGAGCGGAGGGGGGTCCCTCAGCCCAGCCTGCACCCTCTCACAATCTGGGACCCCTCGGGCGATGTCCAACTGCTGGTTTAGCCCCAATCCCACAGCGGGTCGGGCCTAAACCAGCAGTCTGACATCCCTCTCGAAATCAGGGACCACTGGCTCCTAACTGCACCAGCAAAGGCAGCTGGCACCCTCACTTCTTTCATTATTGAACCTCCTTCCTCAGCCTCGCTGTACACACACCATAAAGTCCTTGCACTTTATCCCACAGAGATTCTCCACCCCTTTCTTCCTGCCGTGAGGCACATTGGACCTGAACTGGTTGGGCCCATGGAGGGAAAGGGAGCTTGTGCTTTCCCAAGGCCCAGTCACCTCCCCTGCTCACCTCCCAGGTAGAATCTTCTTTAGGAGAATCTGCAGAGCCCTGCACCAGCAAATGCAGCCTGCTCGGGATGGTGATGGCAAATCTGCCAGATGCTCATGCTAGCCATACGCCTGTTTCTCGGGAGAGGGAATTGAGAGAGAAAACCGAGGTACAGAGAAGTTAAGTAATTTTCCCAGGATCCACAGCTAGAAGTCTCACTCGGTCTCTCCCGTGCAAAAGTGCATGCACTTACCTGGGCTTTTTTACCTGATATGAGGAGCAGTGGTGTTAACTTGGACAGGAAAGAATGAAAAGTAGCATCATTTGGAAAGCAATCTCAAGCTTCTTGGATTTCCTTTCTGAAGCATCTCCAACTTGCTTGGTGCCTGGTCCAAAGGCATTTTGGTGGCTTCACACAGGCCAAGCATGAGCACTGGATATAAGAATTTTCTTATCCTGAAGTTTCCGAATGTGGCTGCCTATCACAATCACTCAAGGGACCTTAAAATTCAGATTCCCAGGCATCTCCACCGCCTC